GGACCCTGAAGTTGGGCAGACAAGCCAAAATTTGTCTCCCGGCTGCCACTCTCTGTCGATACAAAATCACACCTGCCAGTAGCCTCGTTTATTGCAGCTCTACCCGTGTTATCCAGAACCTCTGTCGGATGGTGTTTGGTAGTGATTGGTCCCCGCATGCCCGTCTCGTACGTGATACCATATAAGCAAGGTGATGACGTGGTTGCCGGCCAGCTAGATAATTGGGTGCTTGGTTTCGAACGCTTCGTCCTTCGCGGATAGGGGATGCACCTAATATAGAAAACTACCGATCAATTAGCTTGACCAGCATCATTTCTAAAGCGATTAAGCGGATAATAAGAAAAACTTGCAGAGTACCTAATAGACGTGCAGTTCTTTTCGAAGATGAAAATAANTGAAAATAAGATCCAAGATCTCCAGCGAAAGGAAAGCGACTAGTGGTGTCCCCCAAGGGGCTATAATAGGACCACTCATCTTTCTCATATTTATCAACGATGAGGTCACAAACCCATGCCTCATCTACACAGACGACGTCAAAAAAGTTGGCGTCGCGTCCAGTCAAAAATCAATATAAGACGACTTAGACAAGCTCTCAGCGTGGATGGTAAGGTGGAATCTGCCTTTAAACGCAACCAAATGTTGTGTTTTAGGCAAAAATGCTCCTGAACACCCATGCGGCTTACGATCTCAGATCAAGAAGCACATACTCTGACACAAGAGAGGTGTCTCTAAGACCTTGGGATCACAGTCGCAGCCAGCTTTCCACCCAGCAAACAATGCGCCGAAGCATCCCACAAGGCTTAGAGAGCGCTGTTTGCACTCAGAGCGCAATGATCAGCAGAGAAACCGATGTATTCATCCCTCTGTATAGGGAACACGTAAGACCCCAAATAGAATACTGCGTTCAAGCTTGGGCTCTCTATCGATTAATGAACGTAGAAAAATCAGAAAAAATGTAACGGCTAGCCACCAGAATGGTTTACAAAACGAAAGGGCGATCCTACGAGGACCTACGAGGTGACCTAAAACATAAGGAAAATAAGCTCTTTCTTTTCTTCTCCCCATCCCCACATTTGACAAACGTGGTGCGTATGCGCAACATGCACACTTACACTTAAGTGTACGTAAGCCTCTCACCGATACGGCCAGAAGACAGTTTGTTCCTTCTCTTTTTCAGCTGTGTGCGACAACTACTACATCCGAATCTCAAATCCTCCGACGGTCGCGGAACTATCAACCGTACTGTAAACCGGACAAACAAACAGCTCGACCGGTCTACCGACGAGGTCGAGCCAGAATCAGTACAACCCTAAGACCGAGGCCTCTAAGTTCTGGAAATTTGGACTGGATTGGATTAAATTGGAATAGGAATGAAGTCATTACTGCTAAATGGACAGCAGAGTTCAAGCACAGGCTCGACATTTTGTGGACTGAGTTGAACAGTTTGAAAACAGCTGACTCAAAGACCGCTACTCATTTATTGCTAAATCTCCCCATGCCACGTTTTCCTCTCCTCTTTTACTTCGTTCTTCCTCCGACCTCTCCGGGGGCACTAGGTTTATTCTTCAGCTCTATTAAACACCTCTACCCCTGGGACTGGAGCCCTCAGCAAGGGAAACGCTTCCAAATGTGAGGTCCATCGCCTGAACAGGGGGAGAAGATACATTTTTTCCTTTCTCTTCCCTTCCGGAGGCAGAGGTGGCTGGGACGAGAAGAAAACGTGTAGAACTGCAATATAGAACACTCGCAGTGTTAGGGGCCAGCACGTGGCTTACTACCAAAGGATCTCTAGACACTCAATTGGCCGTGGCTATCTCATGTCCTGTGCAAACTGACTAACTGACTGACTGAAAGGGTCTCTCTTGGTCGCTGTATACTATTCATTTAATTGAAGAAAAGCTTTTCTCTTCCTGTTGTCGTAGTACCAGGGGATCCACGGAGCCCATCAGTGCAAGAAGCTGAACAAATTGGCACGCCGTCGCAACGTCCTGTGAACCGACCTGACCTGACCTATGTTGAGCAAAGCATTGAATTTGGTGCAGTGAAACAATGAGCAGCAAAAGAGGTACGGTACATGGAGAGAGGAGGCAGTTGTTTTCATCAAGAAATCGGTTGTAGTAGAATAATAGACAAAATCGTCAAAAATCGACCTAATCTAACCTCCGGAAGAATGTTGGTTTCAACGAGAGCAGGAATCGCAACGCTCAGTTGGCGAAGGCCTTTATCGTTCTGTGCAACCTGATCACTATTGAATATGATCGTATGTATATAATTACGCACATTCGACTATTTTTTCTACAATTTTAGGAAGTAACGTGGCGATTTGTTTACCATTCCATTTTTGTTTAAAGCATCCATGTTTGGCATTGACGACAATATGGCGAAGTAACTGAGTTATTTTGGCGGTTCATTCAGTTGGTTCCTCCGGCTTTTGCGTTTGTCGCTGCTCACTCATGAGAGTTGTTTTTGAATATTGAAGAGATATCTTCTGCGAGGTTCTGCATTTGGCTTATTACCAGAGTGCGGAACTTATTGACAGCCTTTGACTCCGAATGGAAGGTTGGTTGCCGGTTAATCAAATATCTGCCCCACAGTTTTTACTGATTGTTCCGGTCATCCCAGCGATACGGTGGGTAATAGAACGAAACGCATGGGAGCTTCCAGAGGTCGATCCGAGGTTAGTATAATTTTTTTGTTTTATGCTTCGGTAGAAAAATGCCATTCGCGTTTGCGGTGACTGGTCCGAGCAATTAAGCTCGAAAGGAAAGATTTACTTCTATAACTGCATCACCGAGGTCTCCCAGTGGCAAAAGCCTCCGGAATGGAAGTTACCTGATATGGATCATGATGAGCTCCTGCGCTTGTTACGTGCCCGCGAGCAACTTGATGGTGAGTTGTGTTCTTCTGTCTCTAATCAACATCAGCGAGGAATTTGAAACGTCCCCGTGTTGTTGGTGCGTCGCACGCCAATAGTATCAAAGACGCAGAAGTTGATCATCGTTCTGCCTCACCAAAACGCGCCAAATATATTGCTGAAATCCGGAGCCGGAACGTGCCCGAAGAACGTAAACCGTCACCGATTATCCAGTCGGAAAGTTCTAATTGTCGTCCCAATTGTATCACTCCTGCTGTTACACCCAAGGTGGGCATTCCGAGACGTGCTAACTCCCGAACCAGTCCTCGAAAAGCTTGTAAGTATCGAGCATTACACGTATAACCTTGGTTTCAGATGATGAACGGTCCCATGTCGACTATCGGTTTGCTCAATCTCGGAGAGATACGGGTAGTTCTACCAATCGTCTGGCACCAACGGATGATATGGATATATCCCCCGATAGTTCTCCAATGTCCGGAGGAAGTTCCCCGGTGCATCATCCTTACCACTCACAGCCATCTGCCAGTCGGCGAATCCGTTCGGGTCTTTCACACACGCTTCCGTCGGAATTGTCAGCCTACAGCTCCGCGAAGCCAAGTATTGGTAGCCATTCCGAAACAGTAATTCCACCCAGTACGCCTTTAAAATTTACAGCGTAACATTTTCTGGGCGTCTTCAGTTTCGCTGCTTGTGGTATTTGCTGGCATGTCAGGGTTAAAATCTGGGGGCTCAATATGACCAATGGTCTCGCTCCTATTTTGTTTTGCGGTATATGCGATTCAGGCATATGCAGAGGAGTGTTGCTGATGGTCTGTTACTGTTTAACAAGTTACGTTGTCTTGTTCGATATTTGCGCTGCACCAGTAAAGAGGTCAGATACTGGGGGCTGTCTACCACAATCAAGGCTCGATGGGCCGTTTTAAACACAGGATTGATTGTCCTAAGTGGTCATATGTCGCTAGTGGCGGTCGCATAGTAAAGGTGACAACGCACGGAAAAGGAATAACTACCGTAGGTTGTAATTACCAACTGTCGCGGAGGGTTCATTTTCATTTACGTCTATGCGGATCAGATGGAGTGAGCGGCTTGGTAACAAAAAGTCAGGTAGTCCAGTGGTAACGTCGGGAAAGCCTGTCTAGTGGTTTTGCATTGCGTCGCGAGAATTTCGTGTCACTGAATTCGGGTAAATAGGATTAGTTAGGATCATTTATCGCGCATGCGGTAAAGTCGTCCGCTACCACCCCCCATTTTCGAGTTGCTGCTGGAGGAAACTTCGCAGAACAACGGATGAGTTGGAGACAATGCATGGGAAAGTGTGTTGGTGAGAGTTTGTCCGGGTTTCCTGGCTGAGTTGTTTCAGTTTTCACAAGTATTGACGCCGTATTGGATGGTTATTTGGGGGCGCTGAAGAACTTGTGGCAAACGGATGTCACGACCGATCGTGTCATTCCTCATCAAACCAGAAAGTCTGAGTACTTTCGTGCCACGCAGTTAGTCACTTTCCTCTCTAAACAGGCCTCACTGCCGTCTATAAGTTTACTTTGTTTACTTACGTTGTTAGCTTGAAAGTGTTCACCGACGTTTGCTGCACTGTACTTTTTAATATTGATGCATTACAAGGCCACCATTCACTTAAAACTTGTCGAGACTGGTATAAAATAAGTGTGAAGCAATTCCTCCAACCGACATAAAAAATCTTTCTTTTTTCATGCAGATAAGTCCTCTGGGCCGCTGTTACAATTGGTGGACGCTCTACGAGCATCGCTGGGCTTATTCGGTGATTCTCCTAACGCAAGTGTTGCTAAGGGTACTTTGGAACGTTTCCCGACAACTAACGGGGCTCAACTAGGCGGTCGCACAACTAAATCCCACAACAGTGCCTTTCACGAAAAAGATGAAAGATACAGATCGCCTTCTTTCATGACGCGCGACGGCAGAGTTCGACCCCAATGCTTGCCGTCTCCGGATGCAGTTGCTCCACATCACCGGATTCCCGAGAAAGTTAGCGATCCATCTCCCAGACTCGGTATACCGAATAGCAATGCAAAAAGCTGTCCCGACGCTCATCGGTCCAACATAACGGATAACCCAAACAAGGTAAGCAAAACAAATCTCGCTTTAATGAACGGCGGGCAGCGAAGTGCGTTTCTATACAACCCCCAAAAGGAACAGTTTTTCGCGTCGTTATTTCCTATGACAATGCCGAAGACCCACGGGTTTTCTTTGCTACCCCTGCAACCCTTTTCTATGAAGTAAGATACAGATTGGTTCACACCCAACAGAGCATGCATAAAATTGCGGCGTTTAGTACTGCAAGTCTGGTTAATGTCAACATTTCTACGCTCACCATGAAGAGCTTGCTGAGGCGGAGGACATGTGCAACAGCTCTATTCTCCTTGAGTGTCAGTTCAGGTTTGATCGGCTTCTTTGGTCTCTAATGATATCGGCTCAACAACAGTACATATATATATATATATATATATATATATATATCCGGTAGAGGACACCCCGATTGCCCAAGCCGGAGGCAGGCAACCCTAGATCACGGCCTAAAATCTTCGATTTGGAAACTAGATCGGAGGGGTAGAGGAACGGAACTAATTCCCCGATCCAAGTCCATCTCATTAGATCATACTTCCTTTAAGCGGAGTCAAACGTCTAGATTGGCCCAAGATTCCTTGCTGTTCTATCAAGCCTAAGACTTCCTGATCGTGGGACGTAGTTCTAACGCATCTGAGTTCGTTTGGAATAGGTTTCACCAACTTCCCCAGGTAAGCTGCCAGTGATTCACCGACCGCGTTATGGACTCAGTATAGCCGATTATGAGCGTCTAGGGTTACGATTTGGTCACGTTCCTTGAACCCCACGAAGTGCTCTCATACGGCCAAGCGTATCAAATAACCCTTGATTAATGGTTGTAAGAACTGAACTGAACTGAATTGATGCGGTTGACGATTACATGAATATTAGACATGTCCTCACCATCAGCGATTTCTAGGTCGATAGCTCATGCATTCGGAGGGATCTGAACCCCATGGTAACGACCCATTATCATGTCGGTGGCAAAGTTGAACAGCATTGAGGACAACGGGCATCCCTGTCGCACTCCAGATCCTAACTCGAACGCGCATGACTCGTCGCCATAGATTTGACATCGAGATGTATGTATGTATTTCACGTGTATGAATCCAGACTGTGCCAAACGAATCCCGATGCCATAATCTTGATGTAAAAGAAAGATTTTCTCAAAGGCACGTTACTGCTAGGTTGCCAAGGCCAAAGCGGGTGAATTTTCTTGGGGAGTTCACAACCGGAGTCTTCGGCTAGCCAAAGCCTGACCCGCAAGGTAGCGGGGCGGTGTATGAAAACCACAATCTATGGGGCAGCCAAAAGACAGCAACCAAAAGCGTCGCACCGAAATGCACGCTTAATGGTTGTCTAAACTGAACCAAACGTGTCCAGTTCATCAGATCAAACGCCCTTTGGGCGGGGTTAGACGTCCAAGGTGCCCCATACGCCTTGATGCCTAATCGAGCCGGTGACAACTGCCACAACCAGGAAGGCTTGCGTGTTGTTCGTGCGCCTCTTGGTTGTTTTTGGAATCAGTGGTTTTGCCCAAGTCTCCTAGGTGAACTACCAGTGGTTCACCAATCCGATAATAGCCCCGAACGTTGGCTTTTCATCCTCTCACTTTGGCGGGAAACACCGCCACGAGAAGGCAGATCGTATGGGAGAATTTCGAGTGATACAAAGGAAGAGTGATCAGCGACAACCCAGAACACCCATCCCCGACTATACTGAGGCTTTCGGAGGTGGGACCGTAGTCGTGATCATAAGTAACTTCAGCTTGGGTATTATTTGACCGTAGCCAACGGACTCTGTACGGATAGCACAGCTGAGTGATATCGAGCGTGTCTCCAGGTTACGGGTAGGAGGACGGCCACGTTGGCAGTTAACTATGAATAGATGGAGTTTGGAGGGAACCTAATCAAATAATCGGTCGCGGACGATCTGCAGCGATGCTAGTGTCTGCTGACAGCATCGCGACGTGTATGAATGTGGCCCGCCATCTAATAAAACCATTGCCACTTGCCGTGCTACCGACCTTCACATCTCACGGACACGTTGGGATCCTGGACTGATGCTGAGCCATCCGAAAGGCTTGTGAACCGTTCTGACGTCACCGGCTACTAACTATTCTACCCTGTTACCCTGCAGGTCGCACTTTTTTTGCAAGGGTTGAAGCTTCATCCTCGAACAACAGGTCAAGCGACGTTGGGGACGTCAGTTGGTACCTCATTCCCAAGTTTCCTCATGGGTGATCTTACATTGTTGCATCTCGTTCATGCTACGGCGTTCCCGGGAAGCGACGCGTCCTGCGCTCTTCCAGTGACTGGAGTGACAAATGAGCAAGCTGGCCACAAGTCACCAGCATCCACGAAGCTTGCTGGAATGTTAGGACATTGCTAGACATGGGAAGCATGTGCATCACAATGCGTTCACTACACGACCACAAAGTAAACATTCCGTATATGGAATTCGAACCCGGAACCAGAACTGGGTCTCACTCCAACTTTACCGCTGATCTCCACGCCTGGGTTTTCATCATCGGAGACATCCAAGAAGTCTCCCGAGGGGTTAGTCGCTCAAAAGCAAAAAGTAAGTATTACCTTACTGTTCTTCTGACACCAGTCTGGGACAACTGTGAAATATAATTTGATAACGAACCAAACAACATCAGATTTAATGGCATTTCTGGGGTTTGAACTTCGCACTTTGAGGATCGATGTACAATAAAACCAGCGACGTTCGCACCTTCCAGGCGATAACCAATTCATTTTAAATCAGTATTTCAGTTAGATGCAAGTATCTAAATTGACCCTGACGATCTAATGCCGAATGGGCTAACCATTTGCATTGACTTTCTGTTCTGATGATTGGTGAATTTAATGCAATTTTCATTTATCCACCGGAAGTCAAAAGTTGTTCCGGAAATTCAGTTGAACTGCGTTGTGGAGATAAGTAGCTATTGCACCGAGGATATGTAGCTTTGGTTTTATTGTTTTACCGAACACATTTTGCTTTCCATTGTCTTGTTCGAGGGATCGAGCATCCATAATGAATTTTACACAGATCATACTAGTTTCGATTCTGGGTTTTATCTCTTGGACTTTTTAATCTGCAATATCATCTCTCGGGCCCCAGAAGTCAGAACCGACCAACCAAGACTGATGTTGCCGTTGACTCTGCTCCCATCTGCCAATAAATTGATTGGTACGGAAGGTGGTAGGCATGTATATTTGGTACGTCTTTCAATCCCCAGTAACGCTGAAGTGTTATCATCGCACTGACAGCTCCCTACATCCAGTCATGTCATTGCTCAGCTGATTTTAATCAGCCTCAGGTAATATCAGTAGTGATCTAACGCTAAAATCGTCGAATATACTAAATACAGAGGCTCGGTTTCACAATATTAGGGTAATTAATATATGCGTTCTGGCGTTATGTACTTATCTCTTCTAAGGTGGGCCGATATTGTGATATGATGGCTACCCTTGGTTGGCTAAGGCGCTTGCGGTGCTCGCTACTGCATTATCTCTGTTGCATGCACCAGTTAATAGTATAGTCCCGATGCAAACGCAAAGCTGAATAACAGTATTAACAGTTACAAGTTCGTGTCAGTCGTGAAGAAGAAGCACTGCAGAGTGCACATATTCAGTTACAGTCACTAAGCCGTCCAACATTACGTCGTATTCACATTACGGAGAAAGACAACGTTATCCGCATGCTCTTAAACGCAAATTTCTGAGAGGGGAATGTGAGACATTGATACCAGAGAGTGTTCATAGCTTGGCGGGGTTGTCAGACTCATCGCAGACTTAGTTTCACTATTTTTATCACCAATTTTTAACATTCATTCACTGCTATTGCTGTCCACGGTAAGATTCGTTCCTAGTAATACTGAATTATTTTTGCTCAATGCCTTGCATGCTAACACGTCTTAATCTTATCACATTTTTCCTTTCACACTAGAATATCTCGGGTCTGGTTTCCACACTGACTACTCTCGTCAGCCTTATCAGCAACAGCAAATGCGTCCACCCTCCTGCAAATTCTAGCCCCAGCATAACCATTCCTTCGACCGGTACGACACAAGCGAGTTATCATCGCACCCCATCTCATCCTTATGTGACGCCTCAGAGAGCTAAACCACAAATTACCTCACCAGCCATCCCAAGTCCCTTAACTCCGTCAGCGAATACCGGTACAAGCAGCAGTGGTGGAAGTTCCAGCAGTAGACTCGCTCATTCCATGTTGACATCATCAGCCTGCAATTTATCGTCTCACCAAATGGATGATTTACTGTCTAGCCTAGAAAACTTAACCCAGCAAGCGCGTTCCGGAACTTCAAGGCTGTCTGGCTGTCATCCACATGTCGGACCTAAACCACCCGCTCCCGAATTCAGCAGTCTTCCNCCAGTCACGTACAAGAGAGCGCTGCGAAAACGTGACCAGCGTTTCGAGCTGTGAGTTTGTTTAAAATCGCTTGAATGTTTTTTCATTGGTCATTCAGTTTAGTTTGTACAACCATTAACCATGCGTGCTCACGGTGATGAATAATCATTAGTTTTAAAGACCTAGGCATAAACGATTTGACAAATTACTGAAAATCGGTTCTCTTACTGAATTCTATGTCGCCTGTTCGTCGAGCTTGGTAATTTGTTTGCAAACGTTTCGTCGCTAGTCGAGGTGACGTCATTAGTGTTTGTGAAGTGACAGTGTTCTGCTTGGACCCATTCGTTTATGCGTGTCTTATCGTCGTTTTAGCACGAACCTTGGTTTAAACGTTCAATACTCTATGATGTGGTCATCNCGATTGTTGCCGCACATTAATGTTATTTGAAAACGGGAACCACAGGCACAGTGTATTATATATGAGTTTTTCATAACCAAGCGTCAAATGCCCGTCGATTCTTTTATAGGGGTTTGACTCAACCCAACACTACGAGAACGATAACTACTAAGTGAAAACTAAGATGTTGGTAATTGACGGACGTCGGTGACCCAGGAAGTTAATTTGCTCTCACTGACTCCTGAAGTTCGAACCCTGCCACCGCTACTGAGTTTAGATATGGGCAATTGTGCCATGTCTGATTCAACACCTGCCCTTCTTAATGAGACCCTAAGTGGTTCGCTACTTCAGGTTCCCATAATCGTACACTTGATCTTAGTAGCAATACGACTTACCCCTTCTACCGCCCATCCCGTTAAGGTATGGTGGTGGCGCAGC